GCGAGGCGGTGATGAGACGTCAACTGCATTCCTGGCCGTAGATCGGTCAAATCGGACAGCTACCATTCCCCGTGTGCATGTGTGATGGACAGGTTCTGGACATTTCACTCGACGCATGTGTGGTGCATAGGCTAGGCTATAGTGACTGCCTGCACAGTGCACACATGATGGTGACGGCCTGAACAGTGCACAGTGCACAGCGAAAGAGAGATGCACACATACCGGTGCAGAAGAAGCAGTGGGAATATTTTTCTATTTTTTAGTTGGGGGATAGGTTCAGAGAGATGTACTCCCCCACATAGTTAATTAAAATGAAGTACTCCCTCCGGTCCTTTTTACTCTACATATAAGAATTATCTGAAGTCAAACTTCGTAAAGTTTAAACATATTTATATGAAAAAATATTAACATTTATAATGCTAAATTTATACGATATGAAAAGTAAAGTCATGACGCATTTAATGTTGTTGATTTCACATTCTAAATGTTTGTATTTTTTTCTATAAATTTGGTCAAAGTTTACGAGGTTTGATTTCAGATAAATCTTATATGCGAACTAAAAAGGACGGAAGGGAGTACAATAAAGTAATGCTGTTGCAAGGGAGAGCTTTGGCGTTAATAAACAGTTTTACTTATAATAAAGACGACGGTTGGGGTTGTGAAGGTTAATTTTCATCTAATATATTTGCAAAAACATGATTTATGAACACTTTTTTATAGAAATAACAACTAATTGACAATAATAATGTAACAACTCATGTGTGAATTTAAGTACATGGAAGAACACAATGGATTATATTATTTTTGCAAAAATATTATTATTTTTACAAACTCATGTATAAATTTCATGGTTGATGTATTAATTAAGGAATATATAATTGCTAGGTTAATTATGAAATCCGGGAAAGAACTGTACAAATGCCCAAAAAGGTATTCATGACATTTTTGTTTTAAAAAAATAAAGGCTTTGCCTAATGCATTGTTGCATTTTTGTGATCTGATGTGAAGAATCAAAAAGCTTCCATGAGTTCCCACTAAAAAGTAGAAACCCCTTTTAAAAATTACATCATGAATTTATCATAACATTGGTGCTTTAGTTGTAATTCTAATGGTTTAGTGTTTTCTATTACATAATAATCTGACGTGCAAAGCACATGCAAATTACTAGTATGTGTGTGTGTGTGTGTGTGTGTAGATATAATCACTGCCATGGAACAAATACAGTATTCTGCAAAACTTCAACAGGAAACATTATCACATTTACATGGTGAACTCAAATTATATATTAGAAAACCCTTACCATCTTGCTTATCTGTTTAAGGTAGTCATCATATATCTCTTTATTTGATATGGATACTGGATGCATTTCCTGCAACGAGAACAAAAAACACTGATGTGAAAACTGAAAAATCAGTCAAAGATAATACTACTCAACATTGAATTACCTTAATCTGAGTGAACATCTGGTTGCAGAACGGTCTGCCATGATTTCTTGATATGACAAAATCCACCGCACGGAACAAATTTTTGAGCTGATACTCGCGCTGCTGCATATCACTGGTGTTATTGTCAAAGAGAACAACTCTGTCTGCAAATAGGTCCACCATGTCCTGTAAAAACGAGCATTCAAGTGTAAGCGACATGCAAACAGATTGGACTCAAGGATATCATGAAATGCAGTCAAAATTAAAGCTCTTTGCGAGTGATCGACAGACATGAAATTAACCTGGAGATATGCTGGGGCACTGTCAGTTAACTTTTTCTTCCAACGGCTTTCGCCCCCTACTACATCTCCATGTGTGAAAACTAATATCATGTGATCAAGGACTTCATTGCCAAAGAGCAGTTTGATTGACTCAATTGCCTTCTCATCTTCACAAGAAAACCGAGACTGAGCTGAAAAGACCATAAGCATAGCATCGAAGCCATCTTTGGCCATGTCCATGCACTTGGCTATCTCTTTCTGAACATCTTCAGCTGTACTATCCATGTCGAATAGGCCTATTCAGAAAAGAACATGATAGTTCAATGAATTGCCAGTGCATGCAGATTTTGCAAACATGGAAGAACAAAACAAGCAAGGAACTCTCTTCTCGAAACAGGCTTTCGCCCCACTTTATATATAAAGCAACATCGGAAGAAGTATACGGCCGAACGATACAAGGTGGTGAGATAACCCTCTTACAGAGCCGATCCTGTGATAAACGACACACACAATACGCACGAGACTACGCTACCGACAAAGAACACCGGGAGAACTAAACACACTCCACGCTACGACCTAGCACACCTAAACTCCACGACAACGTCCCAAGAGGGAAAACGGCACATAGTGTCGCCGTTGCCGAGTCCACACGGGACAAAGGTCATGAAAGAAATGAACACATACAGTAACAGTAATGACAGAAAAGGATCATTGTTGTATCAGTGCTGTTAAGTCCACTAGGAAAAAGCATATTCACATTTTACAAGTGGGATAAGTATATTTTTCGACCTTCAACTCTTTCGAAAGTATAGCAATAGTCCCTCGACTCCGAAACCAGCAAAACTTAGTCCTCCAACTTTCAAAACCGAATAAGTTTAGTCCCTCAACTTTCAAAACCGGATAAGTTTAATCCCTCATCTCGCTTAGGGTGATTTTCTGCTGGCGCGGTGTGGTTTTTGACTCGGACACGTGCACGAAAGGTGCTCGGTATAATGGTCAGCGAGCGGCAGTGCGTGTCGACGGCGCCCGGCAGTGTGTGCAACGAGCAAATAGGGCGGCGCCTGCAGCCAGCGTGGTGCGGCTCAGTGCGCGTCGGCCCGGGCGGTCCATGGGCGGTCCATGGTGAGGCTGATGAACGATGGCCTGTGTAGGATGCCCTTAGTCTGCTAGAGTGCTGAAGGCAGGGTCAACTGCGTGAAGCTCCCAAAGCTGCTCTTTTACTCCTGTCGCTGCCACCGCTGGTGGCTCAAGTCTGCCCGCTCGCGCGGGATCCTCATAAAAACAAGGTCTGCACTTACGGACTTACCCTTCTTCAATTCATGTTGTGGTTGGGCTTGACATGGCCGTAGCTAGGATGGATGGAGGGGCACCACGCGAGCTCCTGCAATGAGCCGGTGCACCAGGGCGCGGCCATGGGTCTCCTGTGAGGCAGGCGTGCCGCCTCGAGCTCCTCCTCCTGCTCAGGCTTCCTGTCCAGAAGGTCAGCGGCGTCGCGTCGGGCGCAGGCTGCTGCTCGACGGCCCGTGCAACAGGGAGGCCAAGTCACTCGTCTGCCAACGCCACGCCCTGGGTCGCCGAGCTCCTCTGGCCGCTCGAGCGCTTTATCTCCGCCGCATGACCATCATGGACGACGCTGTCCGACACTGTGTTTTGAAAAAAATGACATGAACTGTGACGTGGCGGTCAAACTAGGTGACGTGTCAAGTTTTTGGTCAAAACCGTGTCCACATCAGATGGAAACCACTCGAAGCGGTATGAGGGACTAAAGTAATCTGGTTTGAAAAGTTGAGGGACTAAAGTTTGCCGGTTTTGAATTCAGGGACTATTTCTATACTTTCGAAAGAGTTTAGGGACAAAAAATATACTTCTCCCTTTACAAGTAAGACACAGCACCTGGTACTCCTAATCATTTTAACTTGATAGAGGAAATTGCTTGGTATATGCAAACCTATACCTGTGATGTTTGTGGTACAGCTACTGGACTCTTGCCCCTTAATTTGAGACTTCTTCTACAAAATTTCTGCTTACTAGCTCTTCAGCACTAACTACTACTAGTAACGTTTTTTTTGTTTAACTACCATAGGAAATGCTCCACAGCATATCTACATTCAACAAACTCAGGAAATGTTCCACTGCATGATCACAAAAGGATAGTAGCTGCAAATCGCTACAGGTCAACCGATCAAACATCAGTGTTTGCAACCATTTTTCAGATCATACATCAGTCCTTTCAGGAATTGATTAATGAAAACATATGGATTTCCACGGTAACTATGGGCGTCTTGTGCTCAGATTGACTGAGAGTGCTTACCCGGAGTGTCTATGACATTCACGGTACGGGTCGCACAGCCATCGTGGAACTCCCTGCTTCTCTTCTGACAAGTTTCAGTGACAGCTCTATAAGAGTCCTTCGATTCAAATGCGTCGTCTCCAAGTATGCAATTTGCGGTTGCGCTCTTGCCGGAACCAACTTTCCCGACCAGAGCAAGACTAACATCGGCAAGGCGGGGAGGGCAGGGCAGCACCGCCCAGTCGCTGTAGCCGTCGCCGTCACTGCCCCCGCCGCCCATTGACGAAATCGAGGAATGGCCGCGGATCTGCAAGTAAAAGGCCTCCACCCATCATCACCAACCAAAATCTCAACTCGTAGGATAGGAACGAGATGGAAATGCGTGTGCGGAAGCAAAGAAAAATGTACAACCAAGTCATATAGCGAAGAAAAAGAGGGGACGAACAAGAGAATCACTTACGGCAGCAGGCGAAAACCTCACCAAACCCTTGCTCCTTGGGTAAGACTTGAGACGGCGCAAGCAATGGATGAGTGGAGGGCATAAATAGGAGAGAGAGAGAGAGAGAGTTCACTGCCCCGGAAGTTGAAGAATAAACTGAAGCGGCGCCAGCGAAAACCCAAATGCATCGGGAGTCTCTGCTTTTCTTTTGAGCTGCCGCTTCGTGTTCCGCCCGAATTTGTGTTTCACCTATGGGTACTCCCGTAGCTCCAAGAACTCTTGGCCCCGCGTCGCTCCCCCGCGGGCGACCCGGGCGCCCCAAACCTAGCCGCCAGAACCTACCCCCACCCGCTCCCTCTCCCCCCGCCGCCGCCGGGCAAAGCCCGCGCGGTGCCGGTGGCGGCGGGATCTCCTTCGCCCTTGGCTGGAGCGGGGGCCGCGGGGGGCCTCTTCTTCGCTCAAGACGGCGGATCCCGGAGGCCGGCGTGTCGGATGGCGCTGCTGGCGCTGCTGGCGTGGGGCAGCGCAGCCGCTGGCCGGTGGAGGCGCGTCGTCATGGCGGAGCGCGCGTGCCGGTGGCGGCGCGGCGTTTCTCTCGTGGCGGGACCCGTCTTGGCCAAATCAGCGGCTGCTGGTGGAGGAGGATGGCGGCGGATGCGCGACATGGAGTCTGGCAGGGCAGCGGGCTTGGACAGAGCTGGCAGCAGTGTGGTGGTGTGCTTGGGCGGTGGCGGCGTCATCTGGAGGCAGCGGAGCAAACCCACGGCCAGGCTGGTGGTGGCGGCGCTGCGATGGCTCGGCCAAGATGGAGTCTTGGCGAGCAGCGAGTGGCCGGCCTCCTCTGCGCGGTGTGGTGAGTGGCGGGGCTCTCTCGGTGGCGCGGCTTGGTTCTTCGCGGAGGAGCGGGTCCGTCCGTCGCAAGGCCAGCCTTTGGAGTGGGCGTAGGCAGTTGCGGACGGTCATGGACCCTGCCGGAGGTGGGGATGGCTGTAGTCTCTTGTTCAGGCTGGGAGTTGGTGCGGTGGCCGGGTTTTTCTTGGTCATGCAGTCGGTCGTCGGTTTTCAGCTTTGCGGCTACTTCGACTTAGAGTTGCGGTGGCGGCGGTACGAGGCAAATTGGACGGTGTAGCCCATTTCCAGGAGGCGTGGTGATGTGCGTTTGCGCGGATGAAAATCCTGCTTGGCTTATGCCGGGCCGGCGGCGATGGCACCTGTGGGTGTCATTTCCTTCTTGAAGGCGTCGCCGAGGTGTGTGCGCCATGCCCCTCACTCACTTGGAGTTGGTGGCTGTCTTCGGACGAAAGTCTCGATTCGATGTTGGATCGGCATATTGGCGGCGTCCTCAACGTCGTATCTCTGTTGGGAGCTTTGTGTGTGGAGACATGGTCGGGTCCTTATTGCTCTCCTTCGGTGTTCGCCGCTGTCCTCTGTTGATTCTTTGCGGCGCTATGTATGCTCATCGCTGGTGTCTTCAAGAAGGTGCTTCTCTTAGATTGGAGCAAGTCCCGCTTTTCACTTGCCACTTCCTCTTAGGCGCTCAGAGTGGATGGTGCGTCGACAAGCGATGTTCTATGGAAAGTGGTGGTCTTCGGAGGTATCCGGCGTCGGTCGAGACGCGGTGTGTGTGTCAGCTGAGGATAGGCTCTTCTGTATTGTAGCTTGCTTTGCGGTGTTGTCCGCGTGTAATCTTGATCGTGAGTGGTGTGGTGTGTGCTACGCTCGTTGTTCGCAACGAGTGGTAGCTTCTTGTAATTTCATTTCTGCCTTTTATAAAGTTATGGTACGCCTAGGCGTACTCTCGAAAAAAAACCTTTGGGTACTCCCTCCGGTCATTTTTGCTTCGTGTACGCTGTCAGAGGCATTTGCGAACGAACCACATGGCATTTTTAGTGTTACTAGGGTGACATTTTTAGTATAGTGCATGGCAATTCGTTTATTTTTTAGGCAAATTTCTTCAAAAATTGCCATCCGAGCGATTTGGATCATTTGGATCATGTGGTTGTGAGGTACATCCATAGGGAACGCCAGTCAGATAGCATTTCTTAAAAAAAAGGTTTTATAAAGTTCAACTTTAGAAAAACCTTATATACGGAGTAAAAATGATCGAAGACAGTACTTAAGCGCATGTGCCTAGGTGAAACATAATTTTGAGTCTACAGCTAATTAAATAAAAGAAGCTTAGCAACAAAAAGCTAACCACACTGCAGGTGTGGTCAGCCCTTCATATTGATGAGTACTTGAATGATGTTGTGTGTAAGAGGGGAAGAAGAAGAAAAGGAGGCTGCCCTCCCCAGGGCGGCTCAAGGATGCCTAGGGTTTCCTCGGCGCCGCCCCTCTCCATCCTTCCTCCCTCCCTTGCCGCCACCCGAGGCGATCGCCGAGCAGCGCCTGGGCAGCTGCCGATGACGGTGGCGGCGAGGTCTTCGTTGCTTCGTTCTCGCGAAGAACTCCGGATCCAGGGCGGTGGCCCTGGTCGGCGAGGCGGCGTCGTCTCTTTCGGCTGGCGGCGTGCGCGGGAGGTGCGGGCCGTCTACCTCGGCTGCTCGGGCAGCGAGGAGCAGGCGGGTAGCGGTCGCGGCGCAGGAAGGTTTCCCTTCCTCCGTTCCAGATCTGAAGGTCAGGCTCCCCCTCTCTGCTCTTACTCCGCTGGCCCACCCGATTTGGGGCCTCTGGCTGCAGGATCCGGTAACGGCGGGGTGCTCCCCGAACTGGTGGTGCGGGACGAGCCCGGGGGAAACCCCTGTTTGGTTTTTCCAGCGCGGCGGCGGCGCCGCCGCCATCTTGCGTCGTACTACTCCCTGGAGTCACCGCTGTGGGCTCCCCTCCCCACCCCGGCCAAACTTCTCGGGCGAAAGCTCGAATCCCGGCTGGATGGGCGGCGGCGGCGCGAGGTGCGTCGTGTCCTCCTTGGAGGCGCCGCCTGGGGAAGATTGGTGCTTTGGGTTGTGTGCAGCAGCTTGCAGGTGGGCGGCTGGTGACTGTCGAGTCTCTGTGGCTCGGTAGCTCCTTCATTTCGGCGACTCTTCTGGCGGTTTACCCTCTACTATCGGTCTCCTTCGGTGTCTGCGGTGTTGCCGATGTGTGTGTGCTCTGACTTGTGGTCGTGCTCCATGGCTGCCCCAGACTCGAGACCAACCATTGCTCTAGCTCTCGGGTGAGCGTCTCTGCATTCGATGGTGCGGCGCCTTCGAGCCTAGGCGAGGGGAAGGGATCCCCTTCGATGTTAGAGGAGGCAGGTGTTGGGTCATCTCCAGCCCTGGTTTTCAGTCCCTGAGTTCGACTTCTCTGTCGGTTGCTGATCCTCGAGGCTTCACTTGTAGTCGTTTTAGGTGCCTTTCTGTAGTGGGCTTCTCCTTCACTAGCAGTTCTTCATTAGTTATCTTTTGTTTGCTAGTTGTAGGTGTAGCGTTGTAAGCTGTTCTTGCAGCCCCCTTGTATCGTTTGGCCGATGTTGTGTGGTGGTCTCGCTCTTGTACTCTTGTCCGGTTGATGGCTTTGTGAATTCAAAGCCGGGCTCTTCTTGAGCCTTCGTTCTAAAAAAAGAAGAAAAAGAAAAAGTCCAAAAAAGCTAAGCATCTACAGATTGAGGACTTAAGTTGTTAATTCATTTAATGCACTTAGCACCTTCTCTAAGGCTGGCCATTGTGGGGAGTATCATATATACTAGTATCATGCATATGGGAGGTGGATTAAGAGCACACGGCGACGACGCCCTCCGAAATCACGGCCTGTCGTCTATCCCCCTAGGGATTCGCGTCACTCTAGCCAAACTGATTTTTTACGCGTGAATACACAGCGAAGTTGTATAGGGTAGCAGTGCGTAGATGTCCTTTAACATTTAATATAGTTGACACTTAATGGTATATTTGTGCAGCGTGGTGGGGTAGCATACTAAACTGGGCAGCAAAAGTCAATATTCTCAGTTAATGTCGCGCGTTTGCATGCAAGAAAGGTTTATGTGATGTCCTTTGTCCGCACAGGTATGTGAAAGTAGTTATTAGTACTACGTAATCAATGTGTTGTGTTGGAGCTCAGAGGTATGCCATGACTCAATAAATAAAAACAAAACAGTTGCATGCAATGTAATTATCGTTAATTCATCTTGGCTGCGCCATGAAGATGAACGATTAAATGTGACTACGCTGCATTGATAAACTAGAAAAGGTGACTAATAATATAGTTTTTAGAGAAGGAAAAGTGTTGGAATTACTATAATTAATTTGTCTAGAATTATTATCACGAAGTTCTTGGGTTTAATTAAAATAAAAATAAGAAGACTTAATTTCATGGAATTTATTCCATGAGTTTTCCAGCAATTACAATATTGGAATTCTCTCTTTATTTAAAATTCTAATAATAATGAAATCCACTATTTTAACTGTCATAGGATGAGGCTCTCAATTTTATAGAAGACACATAACTTGGATGTTCTTTTCTTCGATATTACAGTTTTAAAACTGAAACAAAAACATAATCTTGCAAAGGATATTGTCAAATGAAAAATAATATTACAGTTTGAAAACTTGATAGAAACTAAATATTAGATGTGTTATATGATTCAAAACGCATGGCTCAATAAAATCCGCATGCATGTAGGGCCGCTGTCAGATGCAGCCATCCACATCTCCATACATTTATTCTTAGTGAGAGATCATTTAAAGTTTGAAAGAATACAAACCCTATACCTCTCCTAAAAGAAATCATATGTGAATCTAAACTGAAGAATATATGATGTCTAAGACTAGCCACAATGGGTAGTAACATGGACTAGTAACTGCTACCTCTTGAGCACTGCGTTGGATTTTCCCGAAGAGGAGAGAATGATGCAGCAAAGTAGCGTA